CGGTTATGAATTGTAATGCATTTTTGTTCAAACTGAATAAACGTAATACTAACATAATAAGACGTGATTTTCATTTCTTTTATATATAAGGTATTATATGTTTTAACTCTTTTACAAAAAGAGAAAATAAGTACAAATTTTTCTGCGAGTTACCTGTCTTTCTATACAAAAAAGTCACAGAAACAGTCAAAAAGTTATGTTCTTTATATCCTGAGATAGTCCGTATAAAAATATATATGATTGCAGGGTTTGTTTAGTGTTGAACACACTAAACAAGAAACTACAAGGGAAGGGAAATACAGCTAATTTGCTTTTAGAAGTACTTGCTTATAAACAAAAGTTATGTTTGTTTACTGCAGAAATGAACAAAGGCACATTTCTATATTTTCCTATGTTGAAGAAATATCAACAGGATCATATTTCAATATATTTAACATATTTCACGAATATTTTGGTAAATATAAAATAGGAATTTGGTCAATGATTTAAAGAGTTTAGAAAGGAAAAGGCAACCTTATCATTATTATTGAGACAACATACAATTCATTTTACCGATTTAAATATTTCACCTTTTAGTGATAGTGACCAAGCACTTTTTTAACTAGAGCTAGCAAATTTAAAAATCAAGGAAATGTGGAGATCAAAATTTGTAAATTTTAAAAATTAGAAAAATTAGAGAGACAGAAATCTACTCTTGTGGCACAACATAAATGGTCTGAGATAGAAAATCTTAAAAGGCAAGATCAAGTTGTTTTTTATCATTAGAACAGTTTGCCCGATAATTATATTTAATTAAAAACATATGCATTTGGACTTCTGCCGATTTTCGGATCGACGTATTTTTTCGGACATTTTCGAATATAAATTTTTATTTAAAATAAAGTAAGAAATCAGCTGTACAGTCTGAGTCTGCTGTCTTGTTTGAAAATAAATGTAACGTCATATTTAATGAATTTTGAAAAACTTTTCGAGAAATTCAGCAAGAAAAATCTAATTAGAAACTATATATTGTTTTTATTTTTTTTTTAAATTAAGCATTCTATTTTAATTTTATTATTTATACAAGTTAAAATATATTATAAAATATCTGAAATCCCAGCTTAGTGTTTGACCAAAAGTCATGTCAATTTATATGTTAGAATGTTTAAAATCACTTATTTTTTAATTTAGTAATTATATTTTTTAATTACGACAATTGTAACAATGATAGTCTAATAAATAATTGAATTACAGTGTGTTTTATTACAGCATCTTTAAGCAAATCAAAATAAACCCATTTTAAAATATTCTCATTTAATCTCCTGTTTCCCGTTCATTTCTATGGAACGTGTTTTCTTCATTGGTGTATCCTTGTATCTTTTCATAAGACAAGCTTCAATTTCAATCTTCCGCCAACAGAAGAAATTAAACACGTCTTTCAATACTGTGTTTTTCTAGAAAAAATCCTTCATCTAACGCACAATTGTTCTTTCTTGATTGATAATGAATCTGTAAATAATAAAGTTCTGTATCAAATAGATACGAGAAATCACGTCTAAACATTATTTTCTAATTCGAATAAATTTCAATAATTGTAGAAATAATTTCTTCCGCATTTTACACTACAGAAATTACAGTAAAATCTGAAAGACAAAGAAATTCAAGTTAATTTTCTGATTCAAGTATTTATATCTTATGTAAATTCAAAAGGCGACATTTTCAAACTTATTTTATCCGTGATATTTAAGAACAACTAGACGAAGTATTTGCGTGAAATTTCAAATGGAAGGGTGTACAACCCACACGAAGAAAACACCCGAACGCCACCTTTTCGTCTATTCCTTCGTAAAACTGTTAGCTTCTCCGAAAAAAATTTACAATCCATTAAATATTTACAATAAAAGTATACTTTACCTTTTATTTACTTCAATTCCTTCTACAATTCAAGCTCCGAATGAAAAGGTTGGCCCTTATCAGAGCTGTAGAGCAAAAAAGTCGAAGATACGTGTTAAAAAGTGTCCTTTAGAAGCGAATATCTCGCGAAGAGTCGAGTGTACTATACATGTGTGGTTCGATCGATTTTTGCTCGTATAGAAGGTCTAAAATTCTAGAGGGGTGCAAAAGGGGCGGATCTACACAGGGACTAAAAGGGCTTAAACCCTGGGCCACAAAAATTTAACGATTATCATAAATTTTTAATACTTTTTCATTAGTGCTCATTGTTAATGAAAAAGGTATTTTCTCAGTTAATGAAAAAGTAATGAAACAATTTTTTCGTGCATTGTTTGTGTTTGTTACACTTTAAATACAACAACACAACCGTATGTGAAAATTGATATAAAAAAATAAAAATTTTATTTAACGACATACAAGAGTTAAATCTACAGAGACAGGGCCGTTCCTAGAGTATCTGCNACCACAGACGAGTATTTTCCTGTAAAATCTTCCTCGCGACCGACGTGAAAAATAGCTTAAGACGAGTTAAAACAAGAAACTGTTATACTTGCCACTGGTTGTGGCCTGAATAAGTTGTGTATATAAAATTTGAATTTGAAATATAATTAATAATATTTAGAATAGTACATATATTCAAATAATATTAGAATAGTAGTATTTAAATGATAATATTTAAAATAATATTTATGTAGTGTATTATATTAATTTAATGATAAATTAATTTTTCCCTTTTTTTTAAGGCGGCTCGCGCCGCCCCCTAGACTTGCCGCCCGGGTGCCCCGCACCCTCTGCACCCCCTGGTCGGAACGGCCCTGTACAGAAACCTAAATACGAAAAGGCGTCACGTTTTCAAAATCTTTTATATAAAGCTTTAAATGTGATGAATAACAATAGTAATAATATTGCCGACGATACGGTAAAATAATAAAATAATTTTGTTATACATACAACTTAAAGGGCGAAGGCCAAATTCTACATCGCGCAACTCCTATGCCTATTGACTTATGCACTCAGCTATGGCCTTAATTTTCACAGACTCGTTTTTCGTAAAAGCTGAAGAAGTGGATCCTATTATTTTGACAAGGATCTGTTTGTGCTTAGGGCTTAGTGCTGGCCATGTTTCGTTCGAATCGGACGAGTAATATTCCTACAAAGTTTGGTCCAGATCGGTTTAACAATAAAGATTTGTATAAAGCACAAATCAACAAAACTTGATTTATATTGGTGATGTAACGAATATTCGGTTACTATTCGATATTCGGCCTATTCGGCCTATTTTTCGCTATTCGGCCGAATACCGAATACCTAAAAACAGGAGTAAGAAATAACAAAAACACAGTAAATTAATCATTTTGGTATTTATATTTAATGTTATCGGGTTAGTGTTGTTTGTTTATATTTATAACTTATAAATGCACAAAATAAAAAAGAAAATAATTATAGTCACACGTATTCACAATTTATAATTACAAAGATCAGCGGACGTACACACTTATTCGTTCGAGAATCGTCGCACATCTGGGGTCTGACCCAGCCTAGCCTTCTTTTTAAGCGCTCTTCCCTTTCTCTTTCCTCTATCGTTCTAGTCCACGTATGCATACATCATAATACGTGCTCACGATACTTTCGATTCGTCACTTTTCCATCGTAGATTTTCAATTTTACAATTACGTGACTCATAGCCTGGTGATAACGGAGAAAAGAGACAGATTGGACGTCGGTATAAGTCACAGTTATGATTTCACAGATTCGAGACAGCTTGATAGCCCGAACGGCCCCAGGCTTTCGCCCGTGCACGCTAAGTTTCTTTCATTACAAGCATTTAGCTTTCCGAAGTCTCTGACAACAATTGTTTGACATTGATGGCCGCGAATTTCGCGCCAATAAGCTGTCTCGACTTGATCGATTATGTTATCAACTCAATTTCATATTTATTTTCATTTCGAGGTCCTTCTCTGTTCTTTTTCCGTTATTTACACATGTAGGTCATTTCATTGTTTTCCACATTTGATATCATTTATCACATACAGTATCGCCATGACGCTCTTGTCTGTCCGCTACAACTGTCAAGAATTAACGCGATTGACGAAGCGTAGTGACAACGGGCCAATAGAGAGCAAGTCCTTGCCATAATGCGCCTTGCGCGCCAATTTTCGTACGTGCGTTAATCAAACCAAATAGTTTAGCCGAATATTCGGCTATTCGGCCACGCTCCTGGCCGAATATTCGGTATTCGGCCTCAGGCCGAATATACTATTCGTTGCAACACTAATTTATATATCTATATATAGATTGGTAATTGTTATCAGTGAATCCCACAATTATGGTCAATGGAAAAGAATAATCGAATAATTCATAACAAATGATTTATAAGAATATAGAACCGATTCAAACACAAATTGCCCTTGTTTACCGCCCATTTTGATGGTTGGCAGCTATTTGGCTCCAACATAAACAATACTTTCTTTAATAAATTAAATATTCATAATATTTCACAGTTATTCGGCTCTTTTTCAATAACATCCCAATGAAAGATTACTTTTTATATATACTTTACTCTTAGAAATTAAAAATTTTCCAATTTTAATTAGGTGGCGCCACTTGTTCGTTTTTTAAAAATTGACAGTTACGTTACGTATTTGAGAAGAACATGGAGGATGGAAGCAAATAACTGGTAAAGTATATTTTCTATCGAACGGATTAAAACTTGTCATTTATAATGTCTTTTCCTCTATTTTATGCATAAAAGTGCCTTCATCCGCAATATAATATAATATTATCATCGATATCTATACGTATTTTATATATTTATTAAAAGCAAAATGTTCCTTCACGGCCAACAGAAATCGAAACAGAAACTAACGCTTTGCAAAACGCTTTACGCAATATCATCAAATCAATCGAGACCGACAAGTACTTCAACGCAGCAAGAACTGAGAGATGACAGTCTGTGGTCCCTAGCAACCGGACAAATATGGCGTTCGAAATTTTGTTCGTAAACAGAGGCGTTCGAAANCGCCACTTGTTCGTTTTTTAAAAATTGACAGTTACGTTACGTATTTGAGAAAAAAATGGAGGATGGAAGCAAATAACTGGTAAAGTATATTTTCTATCGAACGGATTAAAACTTGTCATTTATAATGTCTTTTCCTCTATTTTATGCATAAAAGTGCCTTCATCCGCAATATAATATAATATTATCATCGATATCTATACGTATTTTATATATTTATTAAAAGCAAAATGTTCCTTCACGGCCAACAGAAATCGAAACAGAAACTAACGCTTTGCAAAACGCTTTACGCAATATCATCAAATCAATCGAGACCGACAAGTACTTCAACGCAGCAAGAACTGAGAGATGACAGTCTGTGGTCCCTAGCAACCGGAAAAATATGGCGTTCGAAATTTTGTTCGTAAACAGAGGCGTTCGAAACTCGAGGTTTGACTGAATAAAAGGTAAGAAATTAGAATTAATGAATTTGTTTAAAAATTTATACTAAAAATCGTCACGAAGTGTGACCCGACTGGAGATACACGCGACCGTCTTTATCTCTCCATTCCTCTGACCTGTAATTACCAAAATTTAGCAACATCAATCCTCTTAATAATCAAACCACCCTGCAAAATTTCAGAAATTTTCGACAAAAGCCACATGGTTTAAGACTTAAAGAGGGTGGACAACATCGTGCCACGGACAAACTTACACTAACATCCATAAACAGAAAACACACTCGATTTTTTATATGCGTTTCTCGACGTTTAAAGATGTTCTGAGTCAAAAAATGTAAAACTCAATATTAAGGAGATCTCGATTCATCGCCGCACTATTCTTTGTATATATAACAGTCGGGAAAGTAAAAAATTCTAAAAGTGTTTAATTTATGTATTAGAAGGTATGCAAATTAATAAATTATGGTGTGACATATTAGAGGGCGTAACGTTAAAATAATGAAGCATCATTGTAATAAGATAGTCCCAGTAGTGGCCGAACGGTTCAGTTTTTCACGATTTTAACGCCTAAAGAGGGGCCAGATACCCTTAAAAGACCTCTCAGAAAGCATTTCCCTAGGCTCTTCGGAGGATAAACAGCTACGCAATAAGTTCCATATTAACTCCGGTACAAGAGATAGTATTTTTTTATTTGTATGAAATAGTAAAGGTTAAATGTTAGTAATTATTTTTATTATAGTGTTATTAAACAATATTTAATATTATTATTATTTTTACATAGTGCATATTTAACATAACGAAATAGTGAGTTGTTATTAACGAGTTTTTTAAAGTATACGATCCGGAAGTACAATACAATATATGAATTTTAAACATTGTTCGGAACTATTACTTTTACTTTCCCGGCTGTCACGTATATATAACAAGGGAAATTAATGGAATCGTGTCAAATGTGACCCTCCGAGTTTTTTGCAATTTTTCACGTTTCGAGACTTCCTGAAGCCAAAAGCCACAAAAAATTTTGTGGATATGTGTGTGTGCGTGTGTTGTCATCTATTCCACTTAAAATCACAGGAAGGTGTGAAATTTGGAACACGGTAGTTTGTGTATAAGTGACATTGAGGCTGTTAAATTTTGGTGATGAAAGGTCGCGGGGAGTGGAGATAGAGGGTAGTCACGTGTTGTATCTTGCACGAGATTGTGCTTAATGAAGATTTTACTTGTTTTTAGCGTTTACAGATCATTATAAAACTCATCTGTACTCTCAAAATTAAGTCCTTTGCTATTCTATAATAATTAAAAATGTATAAAATTTTTATGATAAAATCTCGTAAAAATTCATATACTTTATATTACACGGAGCATTGGCATCAATACATTCAAAACTTAATAAGCAACTCCACGTTTATTATTCTCAGAAAACAATGAAGCAATACACTAATAAACCTTAACATACTGAATAAAATGAAAACACGGTATTGTCTACGGATATTGCAATGGGAATAAATTTGAATAAAAACTTTAAAATATTTCCTTTCGTGGAACACTCCAGGTAGGTTATAAGTGATTTGTTTATGCTTCTAACACAATAAAGTGTTATAAATTAAGACACTTGGCGGGTTTTCTCATCTTTATTTAGTTGATACGTGTGAAAATTTTTACACGTTTCGGGCTNTATATTACTTTTCAATAAAATAAACTGAATTAAGTTTGAATACAAGTTTATTTTAAGCTTTTATATTGATTTCTTTCAGACATTCGAAGTAATTTATTAATCAGCCTATTTCTTTTAATTTCTGCAAACTTTTTTATGCGGTTTTAAGTTAATTTTAACTCGTTGTTTTGGTTTTATGCGATTTTAGAAAACTAAGGAACGTATCCCTACTTTTTCAAGGCAAGTAAAGTCTTTTTATATGCGCTTTTCTGTAGAACGTATCCACCGCATAAAACGAGACTTTACAGTAATAAGATAGTCCCACTAGTGGCCGAGCGGTTCAGTTTCCCGAACACTAATAGTTCAGGCGTGGTTGTGCTCCCGGCCAGAACAGGCTGGCCACGTGGAATTTTAAGAGTTTTTTCACGATTTTAACGCCTAAAGAGGGGCCAGATACCCTTAAAAGACCTCTCGGAAAGCATTCCCTAGCCTCTTCGGAGAATAAACAGCTACGCAATAACCTGTATATTAACTCCGGTACAAGAGATAGTATTTTTTTATTTGTATGAAATAGTAAAGGTTAAATGTTAGTAATTATTTTTATTATAGTGTTATTGAACAATATTAATTTAAATATTAGTATTATTTTTACATAGTGCATATTTAACATTACGAAATAGTGAGTTGTTATTAACGAGTTTTTTAAAGTATACGATCTGCAAGTACAATACAATATATGAATTTTAAACATTGTTCGGAACTATTACTTTTACTTTCTCGGCTGTTACGTATATATAACAAGGGAAATTAATGGAATCGTGTCAAATGTGACCCTCCGAGTTTTTTGCAATTTTTCACGTTTCGAGACTTCCTGAAGCCAAAAACCACAAAAAATTTCGTGGATATGTGTTTGTACGTGTGTTGTCGTCTATTCCACTTAAAATCACAGGAAGGTGTGAAATTTGGAACACGGTAGTTTGTGTATAAGGGACATTGAGGATGTTAAATTTTGGTGATGAAAGGTCGAGGGGAATGGAGATAGAGGGTAGTCACGTGTCGTATCTCGCACGAGATTGTGCTTAATGAAGATTTTACTTGCTATTAGCGTTTACAGATCATTATAAAACTCATCTGTACTCTCAAAATTAAGTCCTTTGCTATTCTATAATAATTAAAAATATATAAAATTTTTATGATAAAATCTCGTAAAAGTTCATATACTTTATATTACACGGAGCATTGGCATCAATACATTCAAAACTTGATAAGCAACTCCACGTTTATTATTCTCAGAAAACAATGAAGCAATACACTAACAAACTTTAACATATTGAATAAAATGAAAACACGGTATTGTCTACGAATATTACAATGGGAATAAATTTGAATAAAAACTTTAAAATATTTCCTTTCGTGGAACACTCCAGGTAGGTTATAAGTACTGTAATTTGTTGTTTAGAAAAGGAAAAAAATATGATGAAAAGTACAGATAAAAAAGAAGAAAAAAGGAGTGTAATAATGAAATTAAAGTAAACTAAACTAGAAAATAAGAAATAAAAGAATAAAATCAACAATCTTCTCAACAATAAATTACTATTCCTTATTAAAGTATTTGTCAGTGGTTAAGAACCAATATTAACTCAATTTTTTTTTTCAGATTTTTGACGAAGATATACTTTTCTGGTGCGAAACGTCGAAGAATTTCCAGAATTATTAGTTTTACTTTTAAAATACTTAATTTTATGAAAAAAAAGTAATGTTTTGACCTCATTCTGGTGTCTTGTTTCACGCAGAGCTTTTTGTTATTTTCAGATCCACCACCATCCACCAACTAAGACCATTTCCAATAAGAGCTGAAGAAGGTGTTAAACTTTTGTTTATAAGAGATAAAGTGAAGCCAGTGATAAGAAATCATACACGATGAATTCCATTAAAGGAGAAAGCATATTCCATGAAAATGAAGAAAAACAGAAAATTTAATGAAGATATTTTAAGATTATTATCTACATCTTTTGTTGCAAAATGCATAGTAATTGTGTCCAGAAAAAAACTGTATAAATTACATTAATTTTTGATAGTATTTATGCCTGTTGTTAATATTTGTGAACACTGGTGTAAGCAGTTAGTGTATGGTGTGATGAAATCGGAGTTGGTTGTAACCTGTAAATTTTAATTTAAGGAAACTCGTGGGAAAAGTGAAAATTAGTTTTCTATCTGCAAGCAAAACGTTAAAATAGAGCGCTTAAATTTACATATTTGATTTGAAAATAAATTGAAGAAAGTTTCGATCTTTAGACGATGCTTTTAATATTTTTATTTCTCGTATTTTACAGGTTTAAACATTCGGAAGTCAAAAAATGGGAAGTATCAATGTGACAGTTGCGAGAAAGAATTCGCTTCGAAGTATAATTTAAAATATCATCAAAGGATTCACACTGGAGAAGGGCTATTGTCTTGCAAATTTTGTACTCGTCAGTTCAAGTATGCCGGCAGTCTACATTACCACGTCAAGACTCACACCGGGGAGAAACCTTTCACTTGTGACTATTGCAAACGAAGTTTCACAAGCAAAAATGTCTTAGTTGGACATCTGCGTACTCACACCGGGGAGAANTCTACATTACCACGTCAAGACTCACACCGGGGAGAAACCTTTCACTTGTGACTATTGCAAACGAAGTTTCACAAGCAAAAATGTCTTAGTTGGACATCTGCGTACTCACACCGGGGAGAAACCTTTCACTTGTGACCATTGCAAACGAAGTTTCACATACAAATATGTTCTGATTGATCATTTGCGTACTCACACAGGGGAGAAACCCTTTACCTGTGATAATTGCAAACGAAGTTTTACACAGAAAAGAAGTCTGATTCGACATCTGCGAACTCACTCGGAGTAAAAGCCGTTATCGTGTACTTATTGCTTACAAATGTTCCGTTTTAAACGTAATTTAAATTATATTATTAAATATCGTAATGATAATGAATAACAGTATTTGTTACGAAGAAAATGTTAACAAAAGTATTTATTCTTATAAATATTTGTATTTAGATTTTATTTAACATCAAAACAAGAAATGTTTGAAGTTTTATTTTCTTCATTTGTAATTCTTACATTTTGTAAAATTTGATGTTAATTTGATGTTGAGTGAACAAGAAAGGTTTTGTAAAATTATTTTTTAATTTAATAAATTTAAATTTAAAATACATTATCATAAGTATGTGTATCATTTAGTTTGGTAGAACCCGTCTTCCTTAATCACAAATAACTCGTTTAGTGTTGCTATAATTATCCTATTTAAAAACACAACCGAAGTTGTAATCTTTACTCGTAATAATACGTAGTTGTGAATCATCATAAACAAAACGGAAGCCGATTACATTGCACTGTATGTATATTGTATTACTTATTGACAGTGAAATTTATTAACAATTTTATTGGGGATTTTTGACTCTTATAAGATCTGAGAAGAGATGCTAACTGGTTAAATTTGTCGTGTGTTATGTGAAATTGTGAATTACGTTTGATGCAATGCGTTATTCGATACATTGCATTAAACATAAGCTTCACTGCAATGTTGCAGTTTAACGGCGGGTAAAGATTTTGGAAATCCCAAGCTGCTTCGCAATCGTCGATGATTAAACTAGTCTACTGTCGCTTTGGAGGAAGGCGGATGGCCCATCGTTGCAAAAATCTGCAGTATACTTACGGTGACCATATTTTTTGGGGGAAAATAAAGGACATATTTAAGAAAATAAAAACATCTTATAAAATTCATATGTTTATAACATTACACATACATACACATTGTAAAAACTCAAATAACATTAATTTTGATACTTTTCAGTAGAATTAATTTTTTTTAATAGCACAGGTTCACGCTTTAAAAAGTCATAAAATTCTATACAGTTCATTTGAAAGTTGTATTTGACAGAAATAATGTGCTTACTTTTAACTGGGTTTTTTCATTCGTCCACATATTATTCACCAATGAAAATATTCATTCAACGGGGCATTAGATCCAGGGAGACATAAAGAAAATTCTACGATTTTAAAAATATTTTGAAAGCGATTTATTTTGCTGTAAAATGTTCAAAAATCTCAACCCACTTTTGATGGCAGGGCTTGTTATTCTGTCGCCATTCGTCGATCTTTTCGTTTGTGACATATTTTTTTACACACGAAACTTCATCAAATAATTCACTGTCGAGTATATTTACAGACCGATGATTCGAAATAAAAATAAAGCTTTCCGCTACCTTCACCCACAAAGGGATTTTGAGTAATGTGACCCATTCAAACACCTCTATTTCAATAAAACACATGTCTCAATTATTTAGTACATTAATAGTACATATGTCACATGCTCAAGCCCCTGAAGATTGTCGACAAGTGTCGACGAATGCTCACCAACGCTCCAAGTGTATCATCCACCACCCCCCGATGTGGGTTCCTGTCCGTGGTGAGGGGACCTCCCAGAGATGGTTTAGTAAGTCTTCTTTACCATCCCTGGGATCTGAACGCCCACCCACGTGTTTGCCGTGCGTGGTATCCCGTATGCCGGAAAGGGGGATCCTGGTAGTTGAGGGGCAACAAAACGTCCCCAACACACTGCTTTGGCCCCTGCTTCGGATAAACGGGAGGCTCAAATCAGGCTCCGTTTGAGTCAATCGGCTGGTCGTTGAGTCAGTTTTGACCTCGGCTTGGAGTCAACCGATCGATGCAGACCGGGCGGACATGTCATACAAGATGTGCTCTTCTTGACTGCATTGTGAGGGTATAGCTCCTGGGAAACCCTGGTGTGACGGTCTAT